GGCCATTAAGACATGATGATTCCCAGAATTTGCCTTTTTGCCATCACCAATGGTCACAATCGTGAATGTCGCAAAGAATCTCTGTCGGCATTGCTCCAAGGTGTCTCCATTCCTGCCCAAGTTTTAGAGGGGTGGTCAGCCCACTCGAACCAAAGCCAGCGGAGCCGAAGGGTGATGGCAAATTTCTTGAGGTTTAGCACATGCAAGCTGCCCAAAACCTTGGGTTTGCAGGCAAGGTTCCAGTTAACCTTACACCAGACACCTTGTTGCAGCCTGCCCAAAGATTGGCATGTCTTAGGCTATCGATTTCTTCCGTACTGCAATCGGGATATCTAGGGGTGTTAGGTGATAGATTTCTATGGCCGTGAGAACCGCTTTGACCAAAATGATGCGACCAGGGGCAGCCACATGCATGGCCGACCAAGGTGGGAGCTTTCCAGCAATCTTGTCCTTGAGGTACTGGAAATGGATGCGTTTTAGCCTCGTGACAGATAGAGGAAGGCCAAGGTACCACAGAGGGAAAGAGGTACGGACAGCAGGGAAGGCCTAAAGGATGACGTCATGGTCGAGGTTGGCACACCGAATGGGCGCAACCAAACTTTTGTTGTTGGTGGTGACAAGGCCGGTGACCTCACCAAAGTAGTTTAACGTCATGGCTAGGAACTGGATGTCCTCTTTTATTGGTGCAACGAAGACATCAACATAAAAGGATGCTCGAATTGGATTTCCACATAGCGGGTGAAGGTTGTGTTGCTCGGTGGCCTTAGTGAGAATGCGGTGAAGGGGGTCGATAGCAAGGATAAAGAGAAAGGGGATAGAGGATCCCCCCACCGAAGTCCACAACCATGCTTGATAGGGTCACCCGCAATACCATGAAGGAGCACCCTGGATCAGGCAGTGCAAAGAAGTGCCAAATCCAGTCACAGAGACGAGTTGGGAAATGATGGTGACGCAATAAGTCCATGAGGTAGTCCCATCGAACCAAGTCGAAGGCTTTTTTGATGTCAAGCTTGAATAACAGGGTTGAAGATTTGATACGGTGAAATCGACAGACCAAGTTGCGGACATACATGAAGTTATCATGAATACTTCCTTTCTTAATAAAAGCACTCTGCATGTTGAAAACCAGCTCAGGCATGTTTTACATTTAGGCGTTGGCCCCATGTCTGGTTAGGTAAACACGGTGACCTTTTCTCGCCGCTGTAAACATTATGATGGACTGACGATGAATAAAGCTTAGCTTGATTGTCTCAAAAAAAGAAAACGAAAAACTCCTTCTTTTTCTTCGCGAATACGCAAAGCTTGCGTATCATTTCATTGATAGAAGAAAGAAGAAAGAGTACATTAGAGGGTACAACACATGCCATGAACGCAAGAAGGCATAAACATGGTGTCCGGAGCATAGAGAGACGGGGTGCTTAGTCCGAACAGAGGAAATGACACAACTAAACCCACCAAACCGAAAACTAGATAAGCAGACCAACATAGAAGGACGTCGAACATCTTCAATTCCAACACCGGGACACCACGAGCTTGCAAGATAGCGCCTTCAAGAAGGGAAACGATGTCGAGATGCCATCGCCATCCGATCCAGAGAACCGGACCTAGGGTTTCCCCCGATACTCAAAGGGGTGCATGGAAAAGGCCATGGCAGCGCCTTCAGGAAGGGAAACGACACCCGCGGGTGTCGCCGCTGCCAGCATCGGCAAGCCGAGCATGGATTTCGCCTGGCCTAGTCCGAGCAATCCCAAAGCCACCAGATCAGGATCCAAAGATGCCGGAGACAACCTGCTTGTCGACCGCTACCACAGATGGGGGTGGGGCTGCACATCTTGCCGACGAAAAACGCAAGCTTTGAAACCGACATGGCATGTAGGTGGACGGGGTCGGAGAGGCGGCAGGGTAGAGAGCCTATGCGGATGGAAGGATGGCGGCCGGCGCGCCGGCAATCCGGAACCGGAAGGGAATGCAGATCCGTACCACCGGAGGGGGAGCCACCAGAACGCCAGTGAACCGAAGCTGGAAGAGGCACAGCTACCATTGTATCGGGGCTGAAACCACACCGGTAGAGGACGCCGACGGACCAAGAACACTGGAGAATGCAGGTTCATGGAGGCCGGTACCGGAGCGGTGTCAACAAAATCCACCACGGAGCTTCTAACATGCTGCCAGAGGGCCACCGTCACCACACACACACATAGGTCGTCACAGTAGCTCGGAGGAGACATCGTCGGGGACGAAGGTGGCCTGCACCTAGGGAGGACCGAGCTCCGGCCACCTCTCCCAAGGGTCACGCCCGCCCCGACGGACGGCAGCAAGAAGAGGGGCTGCACCACGGGGGGCAAGACGTGGACTGGGGGAGGATCAGCACGGACACGGCCGCGCCGACGAGCAGGACCAGCAGGATGTGTGCATCAGTTGGACGGAGGGGGTGGCCGCGGCACGCCAGATCCGATCTGGGGCCATGGGGTGGGCAGGCCTCCAACGTGAGCGCCGGGGGGAGGCGGGACACTCCACCGCAGCCATCCTCGGGCGTGACGTGACCGGCATGGCCGGCCCTCCGGCGGCGGCGTTGCAGGGAGACGGTGCGGGAGGGGTGGCGCGATGCAGGGGCATGGCAGGGAAGGAACGGAATCGCCCCGCCACCGCCATCCCCGGGTGCGGCGCGGCTTCGCCTGCCGGCCCTCCGGCGGCGGTGATGCGGGCGTGGCGGAGTCGAAGGGGGGCTTCTGGCGGCAAGGGTTTCCCCCGTGTCGCCAGACGCGGGCGACGCAGGGGTGGGTGTGGGGGTGTGGATAAAAAAGTTCCGAAAAACTCCTTCTCCGGCGATCGTGAGATGTATGCGAGTCCTTAATATATTTACATGCAGTTATGTTGCAATTCCTAAAAAACAAAAGTGTTGTCGGGGGTTTGGTGCGACATATGCCAACGGATGGCTTATCATGGTGGGGTCGAGTAGAACATCGCCGGTGCCTGGAAACGGGATGAGGCGAAGACATGCACGCCGGCGAATCTTACCCAGCTTCAGGGCTCTCCGGGGAGATAATACCCCTACTGCTGCTCTGCGGGATCTCCGCATGGTCACTATGGCCAAGTGTTTACACGGTTGCTCCTTGAGCTGTTTCTTATAGATAGGAGAGGGCAAGGCTAGATCTCTCCTTCTATCTGGTATGGTCTAGAGCTACCAGGTTCCAACCCTTTGCATGGGTGCCCTGGGAGGGTTTATATAGGCCTACCCCCCAGGGGTACAATGGTAATTCAACTGGGCGCGGGCCCAGCCGTCAGTGCCTCTGGCCTCGGATTTCTCCGCCGACTGCTGGGGCCCGCCGATTGGTGGGCCCCGCCGACTGATCTGGTACGGAGCCGACAGGCCGCGTCTACCGCGGGCGGGTCTTGCCGGCTGCTGATTACTGTAGCCGTGCTTCTGATGACGCGGGCTTGGTCATGGGGTCGTGGCAATAGTCCCGCCGCCTGGCGGGCGATCACTATTGCCACTCCCCATCACATCTTGATTAATGGTGCATGGGGCCCAGGGGAGGGCTCGGCTGACTCCCCGGGCCGACTCCTGACGGATCCGACTGGCGGTCCTCTCGCCGTCTCCTAGGGTCTCACTGACTGGTGGGACCTGCTGCTTCCGGGCCGTTCAGACAAGCTGTCGTGGGCGCAGGACTCGGTACTGTGGTGCTGATGTCAGGGCCAGCAGCGCAACAGTGCCACGCCGCACAGAGATCTTCCCGAGTACGACGTGCTGTGGCTATGCCTGCCCTTGGTAAGGGGCGGGAGTGGGCTTCACTGTAGCCACGCCCCTGCCCCGTCCCCTTCGATGAGGTCATGGGTTTGTTGGAGTCGCTGGCCGACTCCCCAAAGCCGGCTTATCTGGAAGTCGTTCCTGGGACTCGGCCGTGAGCGGGCAGTCGGCCGCCCTGCCGTCGACTCCTCAGGAGGCGGCTCTTCGCCCTGGGGTCTTGAGGGGCGCAGCCTGCCCCGATGTCTTGAAAGGTTATGGGACTCAGATTGGCCTACCCGTGGCCCATTACTCCGACAAATGTGCAGCCAACGAACTTCCGTCTGGATAAAGAATGGTTTTCAGAAGTAAAGGGAACCTTTCTTTCGAGCTTACATGCAGTTTGCATCACTGCTGCATTGATCTCTTGGAACAGCTATGTCATCCTTTCAGCCCCGGAACAATGGTCTGCGTATGTGCTGCTTAGTGCCTTTGCTACTTCGTCATGCAAAGTAGTTCTCGTCCGTGCAGATGCATGACTGAACGCATCGATGTCCGTCAGTTGACGACCCGGCCTCATCTCACCGTTGCAATCAGGCCATTGCCACCGTACGTTCCTCGCTGGCTCTGCCGCCCTACGTCGACCAGGAGGGACACAGAAACGATCACCGCACGACTGTGATCTTTAATTTGCATGCAGGATAGGGTTGCCCCGTCAAAAACACTCCAGCATTAACCTGATGCATGTGAGGTTATTCTCTTGATGCAATCATGAGCCAAATCAGATCATTGCGTTCCTATCCTGTGATGAGAGACATGATAGATTCATGGCATGTTACCATATGGACGACACACTGGTCATGAACTAGCCTCGGCGCCATCTAATTTTTATCGCCATTTTTGTTGCATTATTTGACTTGTTTGCTTAGCTGCGGTTGCGTACGTTTGATCATTGAGGCGGTTGTATGGAGGTGGAAGTTAGCACATGCTTTCATACGCAGCAACCAGGTTGTCACGCTGACACAATGCACTAAGTCTACGTCACCTGACATCTATAAGTATTAAGTAGAGGGAGTTGCAAGGACAAAGATCACTCAACTACTAGGGCCAAAACATTCTTATCTGCAGCCACATAGTAACTGGGGTGCTTAATTCTATCTTGTAATCAGCTAAGGTCCATGGCGACCAGGTCTTTGCTGCTCCCTATGGCCCTGCTGGTTCTTGCAGCTAGCTCGGCTGCGGTGGCTCAGCTGGAGATCGGCTTCTACACCAAGACATGCCCCGACACGCCGAGAAGATCGTCCGCCAGGAGATGGCCAAATTCATCGCCGCCACGCCCAGCCTGGCCGGCCCGCTGCTCCGGCTCCATTTCCACGACTGCTTCGTCAGGGTAAGTCGTCGTTGTGCACTTGTCCTGTCTCACGTACAAACCTACATTATGCACACAAACACTAAGAAACATCCATGCAACGCGAAATTGCAGGGTTGTGACGCCTCTGTCCTGCTCGAATCCACCGACGGCAAGGTGGCGGAGAAGGACGCCAAGCCGAACAAGAGCCTGCGAGGGTTCGGCTCCGTGGAGCGCGTGAAGGCCAAGGTCGAGGCCGCGTGCCCGGGCATCGTCTCCTGCGCCGACGTGCTCACCCTCATGTCCCGCGACGCAGTCGTGCTGGCCAAGGGCCCCTTCTGGCCAGTGGCGTTGGGAAGGAGAGACGGCAGGGTGTCCCGTGCCACAGAGGCCATTAACGAGCTGCCCCCGGCCTCCGGCGACGTCCCTCTGCTCGCCAAGATCTTCGCCTCCAAGGGCCTCGACCTCGAGGACCTCGTCGTCCTCTCCGGCGCTCACACGCTCGGCACAGCGCACTGCCCGTCCTTCACCGACCGGCTCTATAACACCACCAGCGAGAACGGTACCTCTGGCCTCGTCGACCCGTCTCTAGACAGCGAGTACGCTGACAAGCTGAGGCTCAAGTGCAAGAGCGTTGATGACCGCACCATGCTGTCTGAGATGGACCCCGGGAGCTTCAAGACCTTTGATACCAGCTACTACCGCCACGTCGCCAAGCGGAGGGGTCTCTTCCGCTCCGACGCGGCGCTCCTCTTCGACGCCACCACCAATGACTATGTCCAGCGCATCGCCACGGGCAAGTTCGACGGCGAGTTCTTCAGGGACTTCAGCGAGTCCATGATCAAGATGGGCGACGTTGGCGTGCTCACGGGGCCGAGGGAGAGATCAGGAAGAAGTGCTATGTCCTCAATTAGTGTTTGTTCATTCTTTACTGTAAGGGGATGCGTTCGATAATGGTCGTGTGGAACTATTTATTGTAGTAGTGTGACTTATTATTGAGTAAAAATCATTTATTCACATACTCTAATGATCTGCTCCAAAGCTTGTCCACCTCCTCCTCGGCAATAGTCCGTCACAAAGCCATGATACTAATAGATTTGCAGATTGTGATTCTGTGACGCCCCGATAATTAGGCTACAGTAATCCCACGTTAACGATGCCACGTCATCACGGTTACTATTGTTAATCTCGCGTTAGTTCAAAATCGATTCAAATTCAAAATTGAATTAAAGGCAAACAACAAAAGTTTTCAAACTTTAAAACTAAAATGTCTAGGGTGTGCCAAGTAATGCAAAGTTAATTGTGGTGAGGAAACCTCACTTTTATAAAATGTTTTAATACTCTAAAATGATTAAAACAGTAGTTGAAACGATTAAATAAGTACCTTTGATATTTTATAAAATTATAAACTATTTTATTTTGCGGTGAAACTTTTTAGGGTAGTGGGTTACTTTGAAACACTATTTTTTAGAGCTAAGTGTATATTTTACTAAAACTAAAATAATTAGAAATAAAGTAAACAGTAAAAAGTAGATAAACCAAAAAGAACAGAAAAGTAAAAAAACAAAAAAAAAAAACCCGGCCAACTGGGCCAAACGGCCTAGCCGGCCAGCCCTCTAACCTAGCCGGCCCACCCCACTCCGTTAACTCCCCTGGGTGACCGAACCCAAACCCTAGCGCACCCCATTCCCCCACTCGTCCCACCCCGCGCGTCTTCCTCGCTCCCCCCGATCTGGATCGGGGGAAACGGCGCCCCGACACCGCCGCCTCATCCCTATGCCCCGTCGCCGGCAGGCGCCGCCCGTCTCCGCCGGCGCCTCCTCGTCGCCTCCCCTCACCGCCTCCTCAACCCTCCTCCCCGACCGACCTCCTGGCGCCTCTGCTTCCTCCCGGCGCCGCCCCGCCATCGCCGCCTCAACCCCGACTCCGTCACCCGAAGCCGTCCCGGACGCCGTCAGACTTCCCTGTCTACGCGCGTCGTCCCCGTCCACCTCCTCGTTCCCCCGCTGCCCGAACCCCTGCAGCACCCCTGTGAGCCGCCGCCTCCCCTCCTCACTCCCTCTCTCCCGTCGTTGACCCCCCCTCACCACGCACGTGCCTCGCTCGCGGCCGCGGTCACCGCCTCTGCGGCCCCCTCCCCGTGCGCACCCAGCGCCGCGCTCGCGCCCCCTGCCTCACTGTGCGGACGCGCCCGATGTCGGCCTTGCGCCGTTCGCGCCCGCGTCGTGCGCCCGTTAGCCGTCCATCGCGCATGTGCACCGCCCGCACTCACCCCATCTCGCTGTGCTGCCGCTCGCGGCCGTGCTCGCCGCGCGCCCTCCACCACGGCCCTCCGCTCCCTTGTCGGAGCTCACGATCGCTGCTGTTGCAGTGGTTGTGCTCCTCCAGCCCCTCGTCGCACCGCTGCACTACTCCCCTGCTGCTCCGCCCGGTGGCGGCCCGCCGGAGCTCCACGCCGGAGCGCCGGCACTCGGTCCCGCCAGCCGCTCCACAGCGCCCTCCCAGGCAAAGCACCCGCGCACCCGCAGCGCCCCTGCGCATGTAACCTGCTAGCACCGGCGCCCGCTTTGGCCTTTGGCCCTATGACGAATGGGGCCCACTGCCAGAACAAATAAAATAATAATAATAAATTAATAATAAAATTAATTAATTAATTATCTAAATAATTAACTTAATTAATCCTGTTTAGTTAGCTAATTAACTTAATTAACCTATGTTAGTTAACCTAATAACCTAATTAGTCTTTTAATCTGTTAGGTTAGTAAAACGGTGTATGACAAGGGGGCCCCACCCCCTGTTGACCAGTCAAAGTTTGACTGGTCAACTGGGACCCCTTGGACCCACATGGCAGCCCCTCTGGTACACTTATGTGTACCCAGAGCTGGGTGCATGTAGCAATTCACATTTATTTCGAATTAAAATAATCTGATAATTTTAGAATATGAATTAAAACTTTAAAAATTAATATAAAATAAACCGTAGCTCAGATGAAAAAACTTTGTACATGAAAGTTGCTCAGAACGACAAGACAAACCCGAATACGCAGCCCGTTCATCCGCCACGCATCCCTAGCATAGCGAACACGCAACTTTCCCCTCTGGCTCCTCTGCCCGAAAACGCAAAACACCAGGGATAATTTTCCGGATGTTCCCCCCTTCATCGGTACCACCTCGTACCGCGTTAGGGCACACCTAGCATCACGCTTTGTCATGTCATGCATCGTCATGCATTTGTTTGCATTATATTTATTGTTTCTTCCCCCTCTTCTCTCGCTAGACAACGAGACCGACGCCGCTGCTACCCAGTACGACTGCGGTGTTGACGACCACTCTCTCTTGCCAGAGCAACCAGGCAAGCCCCCCCCCCTTGATCACCAGATATCACCTACTCTCCTCTATACTTCTTGCATTAGAATAGTGTAGCCTGTTACTGCTTTCCGTTAATCCTATTCTGATGCATAGCCTATCATTGTTGCTACAACTGTTGATACCTTACCTGCAATCCTAATGCTTAGTATAGGATGCTAGTATATCATCAATGGCCCTACATTCTTGTATGTCTGCCATGCTATACTATCGGGCCGCGATCACTTGGGAGGTGGTCACGGGTATATACTTATACATAATATATGATACTTGTGCTGATTAAAGTCGGGTCGGCTCGTAGGAGTACCCGCGAGTGATTCCGATGTTGGGGGCTGAAGGGGTAGGTGGCTCCATCCCGATAGAGGTGGGCCTGAGTTCCCGAAGGCCCCCGACGGTTACTTTGTGGCGGAGCGACAGGGCAGGTTGAGACCACCTAGGAGAGAGGTGGGCCTGGCCCTGGTCGGCGTCCGTGGTTATTTCAAAATAACACGCATAACGAGATCTTGGTATTTGATCCGAGTCTGGCTACTGGCCTATATGCACTAACCATCTACGCGGGGACAATTATGGGCACTCGACGTCGTGGTATCAGCCGAAGCCTTCGTGACGTCAGTGACTGAGTGTCGCGTGCCGGGTTGGACCGCGTAACGCAACTTCCTTTGTAATGGAGGTTGCTAGGTCTGCTCACCGGCCGCGTACGCAACGTGCAGGTGTGCAATGGGCGATGGGCCCAGACCCCTGTGCCATAGGATTTAGACCGGCGTGCTGACCTCTCTGTTGTGCCTAGGTAGGGCTGCGACGTGTTGATATTCCGAGGCCGGGCATGACCCAGGAAAGTGTGTCCCGCCAAATGGGATCGAGCATGTTGGGTTATGTGGTGCACCCCTGCAGGGAAGTTGATCTATTTGAATAGTTGTGTCCCTCGATAAAAGGACGACCCGGAGTTGTACCTTGACCTTATGACAACTAGAACCGGATACTTAATAAAACACACCCTTCCAAGTGGCAAATACAACCGGTGATCGCTCTCTCACAGGGCGACGAGGGGAGGATCATCGGTTAGGATTATGCTATGCGATGTTACTTGGTGAACTTACCATCTACTCTCTTCTCCTGCTGCAAAATGAAGGTTACCAGAAGCGTAGTCTTCGACAGGACTAGCTATCCCCCTCTTATTCCGGCATTCTGCAGTTCAGTCCACATATGATAGCCTTATTCCAGTTGATACCAATGCATACATATGTAGTGTAGCTCCTTGCTTGCGAGTACTTTGGATGAGTACTCACGATTGCTTTTCTTCCCCTTTTCCCCTTTCCTATATCCGATTGCTGCAACCAAACGATGGAGCCCAGGAACCAGATGCCACTGTCAATGACGACTACTACTACTCGGGAGGTGCCTGTTACTACGTGCAGCCCGCTGACGGCGACCAGGAGAAGTTTAGGAGGATCCCAGGCAGGAGGCCTGCGCCTCGTTCGATCTGTATCCCTGTTTGTGCTAGCCTTCTTAAGGCAAACTTGTTTAACTTATGTCTGTACTCAGATATTGTTGCTTCTGCTGACTCGTCTATGATCGAGCTCTTGTATTCGAGCCCTCGAGGCCCCTGGCTTGTAATATGATGCTTGTATGACATATTTTATTTGTAGAGTTGTGTTGTGATATCTTCCCGTGAGTCCCTGATCTTGATCATACATGTTTGCGTGTATGATTAGTGTACGGTCAAATTGGGGGCGTCACAGATTCTACATGATGTTCTAGAAGAGGATGTTTACACAAGACAACCACTAGTGATTTTGAAGATAAAAATGCACCACATCATGTGTACAAAGTCGATAAAGTCTTGTATGGACTAAAGCAAGTACTTATTTCATGAATATGTTGTGTGTGTATCTCCATATTGATAGGTCATAGAAAGTACAAGCAGCAAGTCTCAACCAACATACACACAGAGAGCCGAGAGACATCCTCTTTCCTAGAAGGAAGAGTGTGAGTTGAGTCGAGGGAGAAGAGGGTGCAAACTAATTAAAACCAGGGTTGCAGGTAAAATCCTATCTAACCCTTTAGCACCAGCACTCCATCGAAGATGACAGCATTGTGGTGCTTCCAGATTTCCCAGATAGTGAGGAGGGGGGATGTTTGTGGCCCCTGACCACCAGTTGAAGAAGCAAACTGTGTCATCAAGGGGGTGGATGGTGATGCGGCTCCAAGACAAAATCCCTTGCCATCAGATTCGAAGGAATATGCATCCAACGAGGATGTGATGTAGGTTCTCAGCTTCCTGAAAACAACGGACACAAAGAGGGTCATGTTGGAGTCGACAACTTGCCAGTCGATCCGACATTTGTTTTGGGAGGCCAACCACTCCATCATAGAAGATGAGAAAAAGCAATCCTTTAGTCAGTAGAATCAGTAACTATACTACACAAATAGTTCAATATCAACCAACAAATCAAGCAATAACCAAATAGAAAGAATGATAATATGAAATACGAAGATATCAACACAGTCGGAGTCACGAGGCTTGCTAATGCCCAGTGGATTAGGATCTGAGCAAACTTAGTTTGGATGATGGAATATTCGTTGTTCTGA